ATCTTTCCCGGTGACTTGAATGGTCGCCGTTAGTTCCGGCGACCTGATTCTCCATGAAGCAGCGACCCAGATCGCTGTTTGGAAGTATCGGTATCGGTAACCACTGATCGGTAGCTGTAACGCTGTTTCGGTCGCGGTCGCTGCCAGGAAGCATATACACATCGCGATCATCGCGCGGGAAGTACAGGGTCGCTACAGCGTAGCCTAACCTATTTTTTTAGTTTTTATTGTTATTGTTGTGTTGTGTTTTCAGTAAGTGATAAAGTAAATAACTCTATGCAGAATGTAATATATGTAAAAAAATAATTTCCTTCAAGACGACAAACTCAAACATGAGGAAACATTTAAAAACCAACCACCCAACACTTCAGGTTCTGAGCACGAGAAAAGGAACCGAGCAACCTACGATGATCAAACCGATCACGATTATATTGCACCTTCTACGTCGACGTCTTCGAGTTCTTCGACTAGAAATATTTGGAAACCTGCTTTAGCGAAAAAAAGTATCACGCATCAAATAAAGATATCAAGTGTTATTCCAAACAAATTAGGTGTAAGTGCAAACAAAGTTATAACAGAAAAACTTTTAGAAATGTTTTACAATGACTTTCAGCCATTCAGTATGGTCGAGGATCAGGGTTTCAGATGTTTTGTAGAATCCTTGAATCCTGCATACGAGATTCCGAACAGGCAAACCATTTCAAAATCGCTCATTCCAGCAAAATATGAAGAATGCCTTCATCGATGCAGAGAAATAATGGATGGTGTGAAATATGTATGTATAACGACTGACAATTGGACGTCAGAAAATAATGACAGCTTTTTAGTCGTCACAGCGCACTTTATCAGTGAAAATTTTGAAATGCAATCTGTCTTGTTAGATTGCAGAGTCACAAGGTCAACACACAAGTGTAAATTTGGCTCGTTCCCTTAAAGAAATTATTACAGATTTCCAATGCCTTGGCCGTAAATGACATTATAATGGAATTGATAAATAAAATAAAAGTTGTTGCAGTACATTTCAAGCACAGTGCGTTATCAACTGAAAAGTTGATGACTCCACAAAAAAATTTTGGAAAGGAACCACTTAAATTGCTGCAGGATATTAAAACTAGAGATGGAATTCGACATATTATATGTTGAAGAGATTTGTTGACCTAAAAGATGACCTGAAAAGTACCATAGCAGTGCTGGTCAAGGATCTGCCAGTGCTAAGGCAAGAAGAGTGGGAGATATGTGACCAGTTATGTCGATTACTAAAGCCGTTTAAAGGTGCCACTAAGACAATTAGTGGCGAGAAATCTGCAAGTGCTTCTTTGGTTATACCTTTAGTTAATGGTTTAAAATCAGTTTGTCTAAAATTGATAAAAAGGACTTTCATCCAGATGTATTCCAAGTGGTTTTAAAATTAAATTCTGGTCTGTTCGACAGATTTGAATCTGTGGAACGTAGTAACACCCTTACTGCTTGCACATTTTTAGATCCCAGATTTAAAATCCTTGCATTTGATAATGAACAACTAAGTGGTAATGTCAAAAAAAAATTATTGGAATGGTTACAGCAAAATTTTTGGAAAAACAAACTAGAAATAGAGGCAAGAAAACTGTAAATAATAACCAACGTAGTGATAGTGAGTCAGAAGATGAATTATCTGTTTGGGGGTCCTTTAAAAAAACTGTATCTTCAAGTACTAAGCCCAAAGCAAGGGCTTCCTCTCAAGCGATAATTGAGGTCCAGCGATATTTAGAAGAAGATTTACTACCCCGTAATAAAGATCCTTGTAAGTGGTGGAGAGATTATAACCACTACTACCCAGTTTTAAGTGAGGTGGTCCGTGAAAAATTTTGTGCTCTAGCTACCTCAGTGCCGTGCGACAGGTTATTTTCGAAGGCAGGCTAGATCATCAGCGAAAGACGGAGTCGATTAAAAGCACATAAAGCTCGAATGTTGGTTTTTTAAACGGTAATGCGAACTTCGCAAAAAAATACGTTAGCAAAGATTAGGATTATAAGAAAATCATTATTGTCATGTATTTGTTATGCTTTAAAACTTCTATTTCAACTCGTAGAATAATCTCATGTGTTGTTTTACTTTTTCTGAACCATACAAAAATACTTAATTTACTTATTTAGCAATGATTATTATCACGATTTTATATTTTATTTTATTTGTTATGTTTCAATGCTTTTATTTTGACGGGTAGAATAATCTTATGTTTCGTATAATTTTACCTGTTTCATAGAAAAATGTTTCGTTTATATAGCAATGTTTAACATATAAAAGAAACATTTTTATACTACATTTGTTATGTTTTAAGAGTTTTATTTTGACTGGTAAAATAGTATTTTGTTTTACTTTTTAAGATTCATGGAAAGATATTTTATGTGTTTTTATGATTTTATGTGTTTTGTGCTCAATATTGTTAAAAACAAAAACCTTAAATATAGTTTAATTCAAATCTTCAGGAACCTGAACATCTACACCTCGTTAGTATCAATGGAGTCGCTGGCTGCTGGCAGCGACCATAGACAAGCAATGACCTAAAGCGCTGCTAAATCTACCGGCGACTTTAAGGTCGCTATCACCGGTATCCCGGGGGCTTGCAAGTCGCTGCTAAGATCATCTCTAGTCGTGAGGATCGATCTTAAGTCCCTTTTTAGAACGGGCTGGCAGTTTTTTGATCCAGTTTGTTGACAGACCGGGTCTTATTTGAGCTTTGTACGCAGTTAAATTAGATATCAAAAAGTATTACTACATTATAGATTATACACGTACAAATCATATATTTTCCATCTATGGGAATTTGAAACACAACTTGAAAGTAATTTCAAAGCTATTACAGCATATCGTTCATGCATAACGATGTTATATGCAGGTAATCATCGCCTAGAGCCTGAGTCATCTTCAAGTTCACAGTGCGTTTCACAAATAACAGTTACGGAATGGAAGCACTCAAAATACCGTTGCGATGAGAGCGAAATTGATCGATACAAGTTCAAGGTTGAGGCTGCGACGAACGCTAGTATGAGAATACCACTACTGAGTTGAAGAGAGAGGTTGTTGACCAAGCAATAGCGAACCTTGGAGATGTCATTTTACAATTGATTCGTAGTTATTTGTTAGCACAGAAAGAAGGAAAGGCAAGAGAATAAAGGAAGGGATTGATCAGAGAAAATTAAATCAGTTGGAATGGAAAACGTTTAGGATTCTTGTTGGGGAAATATGTAGCCGCTTAAAAATGTCATAACAAGATCTCTGTAAATAGTCTCAACTGGCATATACCATGGGGCGTTGCAGATTTTGGAAGGTTTCTGCATTGCAGAAATTGCAGACTCTGCATGTGCATCTTATCTGGAATACTCCAAGTTGCGCATGCATAGTTGACTGCCGATGACCATTTTAAGTTCCTGTTGATCAAATTTTCTTCACAACAAAAGATAAAGCTGCGGTAAAATAGTTTTGTTTTTTTGGAAATCAGTGTGTTTCGGCACAGACAACAAAAAAAAGAGGTTGACTGGAACGTTTAGTAGTAGATTTTCAACTTATATAAATTTCTACGCGTTTTACTAATTTTGAAAAATGGAACTTAATATTTTTTCTGGTCGAGTCGCGCTGTCACATAAAAGAAATCGTGTCCGAAAGCAGCTGACCTATTTATAGGTCAATACAATTTTATGTAATGTCTATGTCTTGTAGGATCAATTATCCCGGTGTATGGGCGTCAGAAAGTTTATTCCAACACAAGATTTTAAAATTGGTACTCGAAGTTTCAACATACAAATCTTTACTATGTTCAACTTCTTACTTTTCTAATCTCATACCTATGTCAGTGATAGATAGCGTCTAAATAACTTTCAAAGATAAGCTCCATAATGCTTTTGTATAAACCTTTGATCAAAAAACAAATTCAAGAGAGCATAGAGAAAGAAGAGTAAAGGAAAAAAATTAAACACTGTCAGAAAATGAGGCGCTTGGATATTGGTTTTAAATTCAAGCCCTCAAGCGAATTGTGTGGGACTGACCAATTATTACGATACAATTATATTCGATCTTAACAAGGACAAAAAAGCATTCAATTATTGATGACATTCTTAACGCAATGTCTCCTACACATTGCCACATGCTTAATAATATCGATATACTCATAAAACCTATAGTGTAATTATATTAATAGTAGAACACTATACATTATCCTCTGTAAGCAATTACTGAATGTGAGTCAAGCAAATCAAGTCACTATATCTACTATTACTCGACTTTGTAACTGCCTTCAGGCTTAACTAGATGAGAAATTGCTACAGGAAGTTAACCAGAGGAAACTAATACTTTTAACCTAATTTCCAGTTTCAATAATCAGGAGGTGCCTTGTGAAGCAATAATGTGTTGATGCTATGGGGTCAGCAAACAGAATCAATGGTCGCCTAGCTGCTAGGCTCCACCTCCCCGCCGCTACTACTAAGGCATTATAGTAAGAAATTGTCCATTGCTTGCCAGTGTTGAAACGTTGAATGATTATAATTTGGGTTTGTTAGCTCTAAGTGAGAATAATGAACATGGGTTTGTAACAAGGCTTTTACGTTTACAAAAAGTGGATGCTACTAAAGGTACAACGTCGTTTTGGTAAAATATTTTTATTTCAAGGTTGAGGGAGTGTATCCCGGGTGGGGCATCAGCGAACATCATCTATGTAGTAAGTTCAACATAAATTGCCTAACTTTGAGAAGAAAGAAGTTGATGTTAACACTTTCGAAGCTTCTAGATGGTTGCCCAGACTTACAATTTCAAATTACTTCCAATGTTCCGCTAGTTACGTTGCGCTCATCTGCTTTTTTCAGATGGAAGGCATCAATTCGCTATTGCATGTAGCTGTCAGAGACACTATGTAATCCTTGTGACATAAATATGTATATCCAGTGTCTTGGATTTTCAACATATAGTGCATATTTCACAAGATCAATTTGAATTTTTTCTTTAGCTAGTATCACTTACAACCACAGCATGTAACTGTTACTGGTATCTCAAGTTTCAGCTAGAACTCAGTACCTTATAAAACACACGCTCTGGTCATGTTATAGTGTTAGTCATCAGTTTGTTTCTAATCAATCACAGGTGAGATTTAACGCATTTTCAGTGAAATCTATTTGAGCTGGAAAATACAGTGTATTTTTCTAAAAAAAGTATTTTTTCGGAATATAAATGTAACACATAGTGGTCACATTGAAAGATTGCCCATTTCAAGAAATTTTCCACAATTAATAAAATGAACGCATTCCATAAAATGCAATATTATCTATTGGGCGGATTATGGTGTGCCCTGACAAGATCAATGATAACAAATCATTTAATGATATTATGATCAACTTAACGCGCTAATACTTCATGCATCGGCCAAGCTCATTTCATCGAGTCTTACAATAATTATATTAATTGAAGGACTACTTAAAGAGGCGCTGGACGCGCTCCGTTTACATGTCAGTGTGGCAGCGTCAGTTATTGATCGAACTTTAAATTCTAATAATTGTTTACTTAATGAGGAAGAATAAGGACAATAGACGAGTTTATATTCTAAATCCTTATCAAATATTTTATGAACACTGTTTTATGATATGGTCAATCGTGAATGACCAAATCGTTGAACCTTGGTGATTCTACGATATGATCAAATTCAGTTTGCTATTTGATGAAATGTTCAATCATTTCATGAAACGGATAAATCAATGATATAGCCACCCATTGCTTGCGTATAGCTCAAATTTGTGATTTTTTCCAGCCACACACCACTTTATTCAAGATGTTCAAACTGGTAACGCTGCTAGCCGTCATATCGATTTCATCCGCTGCCCCGACCTACCATCATGGTGGCCACGTAGTCTCAGCTGTAGTTGGTCATTCCGTCGTGGGTCACTTGCCCTCTACTGTGAACCACCAGAGTAGCCACGTAGTGCATGAAGCAGTTGTAACCACTCCCATTCACCATGCGCCTGTGGTACATGCCGCTCCAGTGGTCCATGCAGCACCCTTATTGGCGCCTGCTGTTGGGTATGGCTATGGGGCAGGTTATGGAGGAGGTTATGGAGGAGGCTATGGGGGAGGCTATGGAGCTGGATATGGCTATGGAGGTTATTAAGTACTGATGCGTGCCTTTGTAATAAAATCATAACCGAATATGTGAAGGACTTTTCATTTGCCAGACCATCAATAACGTGGCTGCAATAGCGTTTTATACAGCATGTAACATACCAAAAAAATAGATATGAAAAAGAACAGATTTGAATTCAAGCCAACGTCACGGCTGTAACGTGGGGGGCAAGTTTGCTCTGGGTTGAGCATACTCGCTGGTATGATGGCTCAAATGATACAAAAAAAGATCAAAGTTTCTTAACGAAACGCCACGCAATAAAAGTACAATAAAATTAAACAGGTATCAGGCCCAGGAAGGTCCGGCCCACGTAGAGAGATTCGCTCCGTTTGATCTCAGGGCAGGAATAATCCCACGTGTCGGCCCATCCAGTTTTTATCAGGCGATAGAACCCCCACCGGCGCGCTGGCGAATAATACACCTTTGCAGAGTATGCACTATTTGCCGATGATGTGCACATTTCTCAGCGGATGCGATTTAGGATATCTATCAAACCATATGGGTAGTTGTGGACGCATTTACGGCACTACTGGGCGATCACTCATGGTACTGTGGAAACCACCATGTGAGAAGTTAGTATGAGCTGACAAAATTTTGACAAATTATGCAATATTATCCGAAAGACCTTTCAAGGGTCTGTATACGTGGCCGAATAGGATGTGTCCGCTTCTCGTCTTTGCGACTATACCCAACTGCATACATTAACGAACTTGGACTAGCTAGAAGGAGCAATTGTAAGATTTATTTGTTACCAAAATTATGTAGTCAGTAGACAGAAATGCAAGTTCATACTACATGCCGATCAAACTAAAGCCGCCAGTTTGATAGTTGTTCACATTTCACATTAAATTCTTACTTTTCTGCGGTAACATAAAAATGCATGGGTTCCATTCAATCCTAGTGTTCCAGACAAATGCCGAAAATGGTAGTAGTTTAATGGTCAGTCGCACCACCGCAGAGAACCGCTTAAAATCATCTGAATGCTTCTCTGCACCCCACAGGAGGTAGTTTTGATGTATTTCATTCCACTTCTTGTTTTATTGACTACTCAGAAAAAGTTCAACGGAAAATGTAATCCAACTAAACTAAAATTTAACTTTGACTTCTTCAATTTTGAATCTAAAAGTCGTTAGAGAGAGTAATTTTGCGTGATGAATATTAATTTTACGATCGCATTTTAGTGCGTCGAGAATCTATGGAAGGAGCTCAGTGCGTCCAAAAAAACTGTAAATATCAGATCAAGTACAAATCTTTTTATCGGATATAGTCACAGTGATATAGTAACAGGAATGTTCATATCATGATAGGTATTTGCTTTTAGCCAAGAATCTGCTCGGACCATGACAACTATTTAGAAAAACCAAGTAGAATTCATGCAATGAGTCCCTCTATTTCCAATATCAAGGATTCCGCCATTGTTGGGGTTTGGTAGACAAATGTTTCATATTTTTTACCTTTCAAAATCACTAATTGAGTAGAACTGTTCATGTGCTGAACAGTTAATAAATATTTACTTCCGTTTCTTTGCCTTATTCAATTTATCGCTGTTTATTAATCATTGAGCGAATCACATCGCATAGTATTTTTGCCTTTAGAGAGGAATGTACGATAGCTTTGGAAGGCAATGGTAGTGAAACTAGCCAAAATTATGCACTAAAATAGCACAATTTTGACGACAACCACTGCAAAGTAAAGATATAGGCTTGGCTTTCTCTAATCTATTCGGATTTTTTGGTATAGACCTTTGTTTTGTGTTTTTCAGCAATAGTTAGAACAGTATAGGCTTAGTCAATTGATGATGACTACACAAAGTAAACAGAACGTGGGTCAATTGAAAAACCCAATATTGTGTTGCGGCAAAAATAAAACAAGGAATGAAACTTTACAGTTTTCTGCAACCTTTGTTTTGTTTTCCGCGTGTATACATGTCTTAAATTCAATTTTGGAAGATGGTGGACCAAAAAAATAGGTTTTCTCAAAAAATTAATTTCGATTTCTGTGAAATATATCGCCAACAAATTATGATATAAATAATAAGATATTCTTATTGTATATTTACTCAGTTTGCAAATTACTCAAGTAACGTACTCGAGGTCACAACTTTTTATTTCAAGAACAAAAGCAGTGGGAATTACTACCGGGTTTGAAACGAGTTCATGAAATCGGTCCACCAGTCGTACATCGAGAGACCTTGCCCACGCCCAGTTGTTGAATTTCACGTTTTGCTTTATACGTACCATACATCCTTCGCGAAATATACAATTAGGCTTCCTCGTACGTTTTTTTTTTTTTAGGACTGCACGGTTCTGTAAGGGAATATGTGAAGTAAAACTAAGAACAAGATTCCACAGTACGCAAATCAGGGCGTCGTCAAGGAAAATAAGTCTGAGATAAGGACAGCAAATCCCTTGCTAATGGTTTCGGGTGCATCGGCCAACTTTAGTTAACAGAGGCTCACAAAGCGGATATTCCATAACCTCCATGGTACACAGCTGACACCTTAGGGGAAGGCTGTATAAATACGATTGATTACACTGACTGCAAAAAAGCAATTTAAGGTTAGAAAAGAATTCAATCGAAAGCATACACAATTGTGTAATATATGACCCTAAAGGTTTAATAGCTATGGGATGCCATACAGGTTTCGAGGATAGCTACTGGTTCCACAAAGTCTTAAAGCGTATATATCGGCGAAGGTAAAGTGTGCAGACAGTTACTCAAATGAGCAATTTGTTGTTAGATAAAGGTTTGAGTTTCAAGCAGACGTTTCCTTTTATTACGTATGATATTACGCGTAGGGCCCTAAGAAATAAATTTACATAACGATGGAATGTGAAATAGTTAGTGATAACTTAGCATCTCATTGCACTGACGACACTGCTAAGATTCAAAAAACAGCACAAAGATCTTTGGGATAATAATAAGAAACCAACATTTATATAAAACTTTGACGCATGTATGTATCTTTAAAACCAAACTGGCTTATACAGGGTGTTACAATTTATTGTTGCATAACTTTAAGATTCGATAGAACTTTTAAAATTAATGCATAAAGTCTATATAAACATGGGTCGAAAAATGCGTGGCTTCCGAAATACAGGGTGTTTAAATTTATTTTCTAAAATAGTTTTTTTTTTAATATTTCGAACAATATTTGATGTATAACAGTGAAGATTGGTATACAAGGGTTTATTAGTACGACAAAACGAACCATGGACATAGTTTTACTGTAGCCGCTAGAGGGCGCTCTCTACTGTACCTGTAGTGTATTAAAATGACCGAAATTTTTTTCTTAGTGCAATTTTTTGCTTCTTAAATAAAAAAACTGATTCTTCGCACTTTTCAACATAAAATAGCTCTCCTGTGAGTTTTCGTTATAGTTATCCGTTTTTGAGCTATTTCGATTTTTAAGGTTCGATGCATTTTTAATTATTTATGGGAAAATAATATTTTTTTCACATTTTCGATTTGGGCATTACAAGTAATTAAGATGATCTTTTAGATTGTGTTTTTAAACACAGCAATAATTCCTAACTCCAAATAAACACAAAACACAGAATATTAATTTGTTTGGTGTTCCAATATTATTTTTAATAAATCAAATTAATTATTTACAACTAAAATGCTATAGGATAGTTAGGATAAACATACAAAATCTAAAGTAGTTGCTCGAAATGTAAACCCAATTGTTCGATACACAATTCACATCTACGAATGATCGAACGTGGTATAGCATTATTCAAATAAGGCCTTATTTCATCACATGCATTCCTGATTCTGTATATTAGGATCTCTCTTGTGGTTACGGGAGTCTGGTACACTTTTCCTTTTAGAAATCCCCACACAAAGAAATCTAATGGATTTAGGTCAGGGGATCGTGGAGGCCAGGCGACTGGTCCTCCACTGCCGATCCATCTTTCTGGATAATTTTCGTCCAGCCAGTTTCTAACTATTCTCGAATAATGACCTGGACAACCATCAAGCTGGAACCAGGAAAATCTTCTTAAATCTAACATAACATCATCCCTCATATTTGCATGCTCAGCCTTTAAAAATTCCAAGAAGGTCGCAGCATTTAACCTTGCAGGCAAAAGGTAGGGTCCAAATAGTCGATTACGGTAGATACCAATCCACACGTTCACACTAAATTCGTGCTGAAAATTTCTTTCCCGAACTGCATGCGGATTTTCATGCGACCAAATATGTTGATTATGAAAATTTACCACTCCACGTCTAGTGAAGCATAACTCATCGGTCCATAAAACGTTACTTAAAAAGTCCCTATTATTATCAGTTCTATGAAGAATCCACTGACAAAATGTGATTCTTCGTTCTCCGGCCCGTAGCAGTAGTCCTTGCACAGGTTGCAAATGATAAGGATGTCTATGGTCATTTTTAAGAACACGGTGAACATGGCTTGCTGAAATTCCCAAGGCACCAGAAACTCTCCTAACACTTGTGGTCGGATCTCTATCAAACTCACACAGAATCATACGGGTAAATCTGCGCTGACGAACATTTATGTTTTGATCCCTTTGGAGATTTCCAAAATCAGTTTCAATTATTTGGCGATGCACTCTTACAAATACTGAGCGAGTTGGATGTCGTCTGTTTGGGAATCTTCGTGCGTATTCTCTGGCTGCTTCTGCTACGTTTCCATTTACAAAGCCATACACAAAATGAATATCCGCTAACTCTTGATTGGAGACTGAAAATGGCATTTTTATAAAACTTACAAAAAAAACAGGTAAAATAAACTAAATTTCGTGCATTCACAATTGCAAAAAAATGTTTCAGGTTTCAGCAGACAACAAAACTAACTGTCAACTAATTGACGTTTAACCTTATTCTGCTGTCAATTTTAAAAATATTTGCAGGCACAGCCTACTTCTAAAAATTATCGAGATACTGACTTTTTAACATTATTTTATCATAAATAATTAAAAATGCATCGAACCTTAAAAATCGAAATATCTCAAAAACGGCTAACTAACAAAAATTCACATGAGAGCTTTTTTATGTTGAAAAGTGCGTAGAATCAGTTTTTTTATTCAAAAACCAAAAATTGCACTAAGAAAAATTTTTCGGTCATTTTAATACACTACATGTACAGTAGAGAGCGCCCTCTAGCGGCTACAGTAAAACTATGCC